CAAAATGCCAGCACTTAGAAAGAAGAAGGGAATTTTAGGAGTGAAGGACAAGTTACGGTGTTGTCTGCTGGACGAGGCTGATTGCAGATCACATTTGCTTTGCTAAGTGTTATGTTTCTTTCCCCCTCCTCTTCATGTAATCAAGAGAGAGCAAAAAAAATCCACCATTTTCATGACCTTAAATAGATGTCTGAGACTGCATGAAGTGCTTTATGTATATTTTCTTATTTACTCCTTTGAGGTAGAAACATTCAGAGACATGACTGTCAAGCACCAATAAGTCCTGAGCTAGAATTTAGACCCAGGCCTGCTAGATCCTGAAGCCTGTATTCATGACTGGTGCCTTCTGCTGTCTTCTGCAAGATTCCTTATCAAAAGGAAGTTATTTGGAACAGAGAAAAACCACATAGAGAGAAAATACGGCATGAGAGCATCTTATTCCCTTGGTTCTAATTTGCTCCAGAAGCAGCTTCTGGTGGGCCCAGCTGCTGTGAGTATGTGCTTGCCTCCTGGAGGATGTGCCTGGCCTGGGCCACAGACAAGAGATGCTACTCAAGCCAGAATGCCTCTTATTAGAAAGTTGTAAAGGGTCACTTGGCTCCTTGCTCACACGTCTGTGGCTTTATTGGCATGAGTCCTCTATGTCTGCCTGGCAGAGCCAGTGCCTGGACATGGTGACATTTGGGAGGTCAGATGGTCCATGGCGGTCAGCACATTTCCTCCTCCACTCCTTCCTTGTCCTTAGGAGAACCAATTTTGCTTTAAAATGATTCCTTTAAAACTAAAGTTGTTGGGCCTCCCGTGGTGGCACAGCAGTTGAGCGCAGGGCTGCGAAGCTGCCACAGCCTCTGCAGCGCCGGTTCGATCCCCGGCCACTGACGAGGGTCCCACATAGCGCACAGACCTCTTCTGTCTCGCCCGCTGCTCCCCTCAGCAGTGTATTTCATCATTCTGCCTGTTCTGTTCCCCGCTCTGGCTCTGGTGAGTCCTCTCACCCTCCCACACTTCTGACTGTACCCAGTGCTTATATAAATAAATAAATAAATCTTTAAACAAAAAAACTAAAGCTGTTATTTGCAACTTTCCTCCCTCAGTCCTTCCCAGAGTTTTGTGTGCATACTTAACTAGGACCACATTTGGCAAGGAAAGAAGCCATGGGACAGGGGGTCTGTGCAAAGGGGAGGACAAATAGCACGCTGCATTTGGTTCTTCTATGTCTCATAGCACTTTTTGTCTCCCCAAGTAACTTTTTGTTTTTCAGGGTTCTTTGTTCTTGTTACTTGTTTTTACATGCTGGAGACAAAATGCCTTGAGAGCTGTGCGATCTGGGGCCTGACTTCAGCTCTGTCTTACCAGTTGGGACTGGTTCATTGACCTGTAAAATGGGAGAGTTGAGTGGGATTATTTATTACCAAGCCACGCTGATCATCAGAATCACCACTGGTGTGTTTTAGAAGGGGCCTTCTCTCAGAACTTTGAGTCACAATTCAGGGGGAGAAAGAAAAAGGAGAGTGCGGAAGGAGCAGAGACCCAGATAATTGCAGCAAGCTCCCCAGTTGCAAGTTGGATGCAAAGTTGAGGAACCGCTGTATGCAGTACTGCCGGTCGCCTTCCCCAGGGGTGCCATCTGAGTGTGTGACCTCCACGAGCATGTTCACGTGGTATAGAGCATGAGCAGTTGTGCAACACGGCAGCCCTGTGTGAGCTGGTTTCTGTGGAGGGTCATTTCCAAACAGGGATGATCTTGGATTTTAGGGCAGTAGAGTGGGGTTATGTTCTGAGTGGACAGTGGTTCAGAAACATGTGGTTAAGGGTGGAGGCACAGTTGCAATGACATAGGATAGGAAAGAGGAAGCAGCTTTAAAACAGCAGATGGATGTGGCTTGCCACACAGGAACCTGACTGCCAGATCTTCTCCCACAGTATATCTGGTACCATTCTCAGAAGAGGGGAATTAGGTCTGTGAGAAAAGTCCAGTGGAGAAGACAGCTCAGCCCAAAACATGGTTCTTGGGTCAGGGTTTCCCAGACAGGGTTGAGTTAAAGAAGAGAAACAGGGCTTTCTCACAGCAAAGACAAAGTTGTAGTTGGTCACTTGTAGTTCGGTATTTTTTCATTTTGTTTTCTCTATAAATTACATAGTTCATTTGAAAAAAATAATCCAGCCTTTTCTTAATCAAATCAAAGAAAAAAATATTTCTTTCACATTTAGTCTGCATAAATTATCACAGTAGTGGCAGAAGTTGGGTTATAATGGTAAAAGACTGGAACAAAAATTAGAGATACTGGGTAGATAAAGGTTAAAATTCTGGGGAAAGAGTTGGGGCTGCAGCTGTGATTAGATTGTTAGGAATGAATTGTTTCTGCATGAACTGCTATGTTGCTAAACTAGCTTGAGGTATGTCCACACTGTCTAGGACAGTACTTTGCATGAGGATTAGTTGAGGCACTTGTCAATAATGCAGAATCCTGCAAAGTTCCTGGTCAGTTCTGAATCAGTATGTTTGGAGGAGACACCTGGACTCTGCATTTGGCATGAGCACTCAGGGACCACACTTTGAGAAAGCTGTGCTAGACAATGAGAGCAAGGGGGTGTACTCTGATCCAGAATAGAACATGTGTTCCTTGGGAATGATGGCAACTCTTCTGATAGCAACTCTTAGTTTCCCTTCATGTAATATACATAGTGATATCTTCCCCTACCACAATCACAAGTCTTAGAAAACAAGCCCACATAAAATGTATAGATAAAAGAGATAGTGCTAGTTACTGAAAATAGAAATCTATGTGAGTAAAATTTTGTCATAGACTTCTATAAACCACCTGCCATAAGCAGCACTTAGCATAGGAATATGCATGTAGAAGGTACCCTATATATAGATATACATATAATGTTTGCTTAAGAGTCTTTGAAAGATTTCTAGGATATTAAAATGACAGAAATATTATTAGTTCTATCCCTGTACCTATTAGAAAATAGAATCTGCCACAGCAACATAGAGGGAAAATAGGAGAATTTGCCAAGGCAGACTGAGAGAGGAAACTCAGTAGATAAGGAAAACAAATACTGACCAATAATATTTTGTGTTTGTGATGTACTTTGTTCCTATTTGGGGAAAGTAATAGTTAAAGTCTAGCTGCTGTAACAAAAAGACCCAACAATATATACTGACTTAAATAATAAAGCAGCTTATTTATTGTTCATGTGACAGCCTGTTATCTGTGGTCTATGTCTGTTGAGTGATTCTGCCCTTGGGGTCATTTAGGGACCAGTTTCCTTCCATTTTGTCACTCTGTTATCACCTAGAGCACTGTTATCATCTGCATTGCAGAAGCTGGCTTGTCACCTGGAAAAGGAAAAGGAACATAAAACATTTTAAGACTCAAACTTGGACATAGCACATACACTGATAAGCTTAAAAACACTGCCATGCCTAAGTGAAAGGAAGGCTGGGAAAATGTAGCCTAGTTAAATAGCAGGATACTCAGTTTTACCTCTATTATTGATGTTATAGCAGAAGGAGAAACAGAACTGGTGACTAACTAGCAGTCTCAGCCACAGGGAAGGTACACGGGACTTTGAAAGTAGAGCTAGTCACTACTTTTCATGGCTTCCCTAATTGGCCAGAGCTGCCGCTGTAGAGTATCATGTTTCCTTTAATGTGTAGTTTCCAGACTGTCTAAAATCTCATTTCTAGTATCCAGATAATCTTGTAAGTTATTTTGGGCAATGTGGATGCTGGCATTCCCTTTTCTCAGTTTTGGGGTCTCCCATATCCTCTGAGGTCATGAGAAAAGACTTGTTGGATCCTGTCATACAGTTAATGACTCTGCCATTGGTTGGAAAATGTCAAAATCACCAGTATGAATTGTCTTCCACTTGATTTTCCAACAGTTTTAACATAATGACTCTCAAATATAACAATGGTCACAATGCCTCCAAACATTAAGAATGTTTTCTTAAGAACCATCCAGGCAGAGAATAAATTCACAAATTTTCAACGTTTTACCAGTTGTTCCCAGAGCGCCACCTGTCCCTGTACTCTTTTTATTCTACAATATCTCCTTATTTAACACCTCTCCCCCTCCCTTCCCGCCTTCTCCCTCTGTCTCTCTCTTTCTCTCTCCCTCTCTCTTACTTTTGTTTGGGTGAATGAAAGGAAAGTTGGGAAGAGAACATTCCTTACCAACAATGTACTTCTGAAAGATTGTCATTATTTTGTGGTGTATAGAATGATTCATAACAAGGAAATCTTATAATTACGTGCCTTGGGATGCTCCAAAGTGAAGTAACTCTGCTGCCATGCATCTAGAAAGATTAATGGCTTAGACCGGAGGTTGGCAGGTGACAGACACTGTTAAGGAGGGTGGAAGCATATTGACACAAGTGAGAGCTTCTGCCTGAATGGGTGTGCGGGTTTGGAGAGTGACCTCCCATGGTTTGCCAATTGTGGTAGCAGTTTATAATAAAATCAAGAGGTGACCTATTTCATGTACAGGAATCTGCAATGTGCCTTCAATGAGAGGACCGCTGCGAAGTGAATGAATTTGTGAGGAGAAAGGAGGCTTTAATTTCTCTTCCACTTTTCCCAGGGATATAAAACTGTGTTATGGTAAACCAAACCTCTGATATCATATACAACTGCTGGCATTTCTAGATTGTTTTAATGGCCACTCCTTATTGCTTAATACTAAGCATTACCATCTGTTTCTTTCTTAATTATAAATGCAGCAGGAATTCACAATTACATCAGTAACAGTGGAATAAAATGGAGTCAGACGCCGGTGCTTAACACAAGGCAGCCTTCCTCTAATGCTTTTCTGCTGGGCAGTTGTTGGTCAGGGAAGAGAAAAATCTCCCTCCTCTTCTCAATACTTACCATGAGGGGTATCGGGCTGTCAGTTCAGCAATTTTCTTTCAGTGAAGGAAAGAACTGTGTTTCTGACAATGGTGCTGGGGATTTGTGGGCAGCTCTTTCTCACAATATCGGAGGCCAGTGGCCTGCTTGTCCTGCTGTTATTGGCCTGTGTTTTTGTGAGAAGAGATATGAGCAGTACTAGCCCAATGCCATGAGTCATGTCCATCCCCCAGAGAAGAGCTGGGAGTAGACATCTGAGGAACTTTGATCAGCCCACTGCTCGCCTGGCTGCCTGACCCTGAAAAACAAGGGAGCATTTGTGGGGGAAGGCCTTGTAGAAACGGAAGAGATACTTAACTCAGCATTACTTAGGCTTTTATTTTTCATTAAGTGGAAAATTTGATCAAATCTTAGCTCATGGTATTTTAGAAGGAAAAGAAATCCATAGCAGTCACCTAGCTTGGAGCCATGGTCCCTCTTCTTTGTGTGGCACTTGCCCAGGTCCAGGAGGGGCTGTGGTGTCATCAGAATAGGACTTGGAGCCACACTGTGTGCTTGGGGTTCTGTTCACTGCCTTCTCAGTGTCTCAGTTCTCTGGAGCTGTGTCTGTGGAGATCATCATGCTTCTTGTGAAGGCTGCTTTTGGGTAAATATAGCAAGAACACGAACTAGGATAAAAATCCTAGTCTACTGTGTTGCCCATGGTTTTCTTCCCTTTCTGTTCACATTTATCATAGATGAGGAAGGCTAGTCCAAAGAGGTTAAGCGCCTTGCCCAGCCTGGTACATCTCCTCAGTGATAGGTCTGGAGCAGGAAGTGGTACTTTCTAAGACCACTGTTCCAAGAGTTGTTTTCAGGCATGCCCTCAGATCTAGTAGGCCTGTTGCTATCTTTTTCCATTTCTATTACACTTTGTACTTATACATATTAATAATCTTTGCAATTGTCATGGACATCACATTTTTCAATCTGTACTTTTGAAATTGAATTTTCCCATTTAATTATGTCATTGGTCAAATAGGTATATAATCTTATTATTACTCCTTTCTTACACTTGAGGAAATGGAAACTCTGAAATGTCAAGTATATTGTTGAGAGCACTGAAGATTGAGTGAGGGCTTGAACCCAGGAGTCTGAGACTCCAATGTGTGGGATTCACTTGTATAAGTGAACTCTCATGGCCATATCAGCTGAGTAGGAGAGGACTGAGATGAAACAAACAGGGATCAGTATTATTACCTGTGACTCAGTGTCATTGTTCAGGATGAGGATGCTTCAAGACAACCACAGATGTTTTCTTGAATGTTATCAATATTTTAGTGATGCATGCGTTTTCAAGCCACCAAAAGGTTTACATGGATAAATAAAGAGGTAGAACAAGAGACAACAGGTTTCCATTGGGGGTTGTTACCAAACCGAACCAAAATGAAATGTACAAAGCAACAACCAGAAATCCCTTGCTCTAACATATAAATGAGCAGCTTGCTAATTTAAAAATGCAAATCATAAATGAGGAGGCCATCTGAGTCATTTGTTCCTGCCAACTTCAGGTGTAGGTCAGTCAGAAACAAACCGGGGCATGTTCTCAAATGGGGGGGTCTGACAGCTCAGTGGCAAGGAAGCAGAGTGTGTGGTGCTTGTGCTGGCCTTTCTGTCCCCATGCTCTAGGCAATGATGAGGTTCCTCTGCCCGTTCCCAGCCTCTGTTCTGTCTGTTCTGTGCAGTGTGGTTAGTGGTTCTTGATACCCACGTCTCAGTCAGTTTCACTTAGGTCACCCTCTCTTGCCCAGCATCTGATGCCTAGGGTCCTCCTGGGTGCTCTCACTGAGCCATCCAGGCCTGCTGTACATGTGCAGGCTTACCGAAAGGCAGTCCTTTTGGGCAATGAAATGAAGTCTTTTCATCTAGAAACGCTTGCATAGAAAACCGTGCTAATTTTAAAAATGTAAATATTGACATTCTGAGCATTTCCTATGTAACTTGATTTGGTCTGATTGCCCCATTATTTCTGCTATTTCTGTGGACATTTTACCAAATCTGGGTTTAGAGAGCAGCACAGGGGCAGCATTATTCTAAAGGGCAGAGCATGAACTGTAGAACCGGCCAGGCCTGGCATCCAGGCCTGGTTCAGAAGCTTCCTGTGTGAGTGCCTGTAAATTCTCTGAACCTCACTTTCCCCGTCTGTAAATTGAGTAGCAGCACCCCCACCTGCTGATGCTGGCAGATCAAAGGAATGATGTGCTAGAATTCAGGAGTGGCCTTTTGCCTGCGCTCCCTCCCAGAACCAGAGGAGTGATTCATTTGTGGTACTTTTTTCCTCATTAGAAAGCTTTAGCGACACAAAGGTCATTCAGGATTCTTTTAACATATGAAATGCATTCATTTGATTGAAAGAGACTCAAAAACATTATTTTTGAAGTTTCCTACCTTACTTTAGAATTCAAGTCCTGTCACATCAGTTTCCACTTCAAGTTATACTTTCGTTTCTTATCTCACTACTGTGAGCAAGGCGTTCTCTCTGTTACCTGCCTCCACGTGCCAAGTACATCTTTGTGAGCATATTGTTGGTTTTAATGTAGCCGTTTAATGTCAGAAAAATCTCAAAGTTCCAGCTAGGTAATAATGACTGAAAATGCTTATTAAAAAGTACATTAAAAGATAAGGCTACTTGGAGGACTTGGGGCATATAAACAGGTTATTATTTTTTTTGTAATTATATTAAATCAGGCATATGCCAGCCCAATTCATGACTTTATATAGCTTTTTTTTAAAAAGAATTTTATAGAAGGCATGCTTAAATTTTAAAAAGTGAATTCCTTTGCCAATTCTTTGAAGGAAATGGTAGAATCTGACCTCGGAGGAGTTTTAAGGGAAACAACCTGGTTATATTGCTGCAGGTTTAGACTTCTAAATTGTCTCGAAAATCAGAACTGCCTTGGCTACATAGAATGATTCTATAATGCTCTCCTCAGAAACCACTCTTTTCATCTGTAAATGAGGCTGTTTGGAGCTCAGTATGAGGAGAAGCAGTGAACAGGAGCACCCTGAGAGGGGAGGGAGTGTAAGGCGTCCCCACAGGGCACCTCATCTGAGTCTGACATCTATGTGTCTGTGAGCTCAGGACCCAATGTTTTCTCCCCTGCTTTTTTCCTTGCTCCTCTCTTCCCACCACACACAGTTGCATGAGTTCATGTACATCCGTATGTCCACTCCCTGGCCTCTCTTACAAATGAGAGGCTTAAAGAAAGTGATATTCTTGGGGAAAAGATGTCATTACTGTCTGTATTAAACCCTTTGATTCTACTAAATATGTGGAGACATTAAGCAAGGCAATCAGGAAGCCACATGCAGCTCCAGATGTACCTTGTTATGGACCCTTGTCCACACTGCTTGTGGGGCTGGTGGCATTTTACAAAATGGTCATAACACTTATGGCCCTTCGCTCCTTGCTCTCACTTCCAAAGTCATCTTTAGGATGTTTCAGAAGAGCCAATGTCTATCTATTCTCAAGTTGGGAATTCTGTGTTCACCCCATGCAAGGTGGTAGGTAATTTAATTCTAAATGAAAGTGAGGGCCAGGGAGCTTTGCCATACCCCTACTCTCACCAGGTGAAAGGACAAGCCATAGGTGTCAGGCAAGAAAGTTAAGTGGATTGGACTCTTTTCTCTCAGTTCAGTGGTTTGGAGACCCACCCATGATAAGCTGTCAAACTTTATTGGATAATTTTCAGTTCCCCTTCTAACCTAAATTCCATGTTGTGATTTCTGGATAGAGAGTAAATTGTATTTTGTAAATGGCCTATTTCCCATCCCTCAGAAGAATTCTTAATCAGCTAAAATTTCAAAGGAGCAATTTAAAGGAAGTTGTTTTGGTTGTTGAACTATTTATAAATTATTATTATTCAGTCTGAATAAAGTCTTGCTGATTGCTAAAAACTTTACAAAATAAATGACATTATGGTCATTTACTTCTCAGCCATTGCTTTACTATTTATACACCCACAAGATTACCTGAACACCACTGAAGAAATTGCAAAATAATGCTTCCTAAATGTGAGGTTTACAAAATGATTATGAATGACTTTTAAAGAAAATAATTCCTATCCCTTTCATTGCGTTTATGCTTCTCTACATAACTTGTCAACGTGTGTGTTGGAGTACCTTGGTGGTAAGTTGGGGTACATAGCCAAAAACAAATTTAGGTTTTTTTCAGTAGACAAATTATATTGGTGCTGTTTATACTCTCATTTTAAAAAATTATTTTTATGGAGGCATCTTTGGTTTACAATATTGTATATGATTTAGGAGTAAAAGTTCACCCCTTTTCAGATGTAAGTTACCACACCACACCTACCACCAAGGCACCAATAATCCTCTATCATAGTCACTGGGGCCCCTCTCCACTTTGTCCCCCGATCTCCCCCTCTGGTAGTCTCAGTTCTATAGTCACATCTCTAGGATTTGTTTTGGTTGAGTTTTGTTTGTTCCTTTGGGTTTTGTTGGTGTTTTTTGCTTTGTTTTGTTTTGTTTTTGTATTCTACATGTGAGTGAAATCATCCAGTATTTGTCTTTATCTTTCTGACTTATTTTGCTCACAGACATTTATTGAGATCCTTCAATTTGTCATAAGGAACCTTCACTTCTTTGTTTTGAGGTTTTCATTTTTTTTTTTTTTTGTTTTGTTTTGTTTTGCTTAGCTTTTTGAAAGGAGACAGCATCCCAAGGCTTCATAGCTATGAAAAGGCAGAGGTAGTTACTACAACCTTGAGATGTTAAAAAAACAGCTTTGTCCATTC